ATGAGAATATAAAGTTAGCTATCACTAGGATTCAAATGGCACATCACCTTGGAGCTAACCTAGACATTTGAATCCTATTGATAGCTATCTTTATATTGTAGAGCATGATTATTTGATGCAGACTGTTATTCAGGAATTGCTTATTGAGTTACTTTGTGAGTAAAGCTGTTTGTTCACTGTTGCAGTTTGGTTAATGACTTTGAAGAAAAATATTCTCTGGACGAAAGGATAATGAAAAATGAGCAAATCAACAACAAGGGGGAAAAGGCTTCAGATTGGGTGTTGTATGCCCTCTTGGTGGGTAAAATCTGATCCAGAGGCCAAAAAGATTGACCTTTGGAAGGATATCGAGGAGATTTGTTTGTGGTCATGATTGCCCTGCGTTTATCAAACATTTAACATTTGGCAAGGAAGGGAGCCAATTTCTGTGGGCATCATTTTTTTTTGGTGAAGTGAATCTTGCACTGGACTATTCCACATAATCTGGACACAAGCAAATTAAGATGGAATCTGCTAGCTGTTGCATGGCTGGAATACATGGGACACATTTTTTTAAAATGAGATACAGAAAATCCTCTTAGCACTGTCTTGTAATGCTTTGTGACAAATGGATGAAATCTCCAGAAAACAATTTGCTGAGCATTTGCTTCCCTCTATTCAGATAATTTGGTATGGAGACTTTGAACCTCTGTCATGAAAATGTTTTATGCTGTTTTGTTTTGGCCAATATTCTTGTTCTCAAAAGTAAGTAATATGAAATTACAATTAATTGCTGTGTACAGTGAATCATCCATCAACTCCCGAACTACGTCTATTTTCTCATGTGGATTTTCACAGTTTCAGATGAGCTCGCCATTTGTTCTGCGATTTGTTTTTCTGCTCTATGCTCATAAACAGTGTCCTTTCTAATGGGCTGTTTGTGCACTCTGTTTGACATGGGAGCTACTGCACAGCAGCTTGTTCACAGGTTGACCTGGTAAATTTACTGTGACCATTTTGATTAAAAAACGTAATCTGTGTCGGTTTGATTATTCCATGCAATGGACTCATTCCAATTGAAATTTACGCATACTCTCCTCAACTATTAAAAATTCTGCTTAATATTTTTGATGGTCAGCATTATTTAAAACCTAATATTAACCAACACTGAGAGGAAATGTCTGATCGCACGACACCAGGAACAGTCCATTTTCAAGTATGCCTTTTAAAGCAGGATTCAATGCATTAGTGATCTGGCTGTAAATCTAAAGATATGAATGTACTTTAATTTAATTACTTTAATAATGCATGAGGCTGATAAGAGGCTTAGGTATGTGCTAGAAATTTCAGCTTGTTGAATAAATTGAGTTCATATAACAGATTTATTGTGTGCGTGATAAATGTATCCCCTAAATAAAATCTTTCCTTCTCAGAACCGTAGCAGCGATTATTTGTGAAGGACCTGTTCTGTAACTCATCTATATGCTAGCGCATGTAACAAAATTTCATGTTGATTTTTGTTGCGCAAACTAATGAATGTGTAACAACAACATGCATTTATATAGCATCCCTCACCTAGTGTAACATCTCTGAGCACTTTACAAAGATGTGCTGAGCAGGGGAAGGGGGAGGTAACCATTACACGGGTCGGAGAGGTATGTTATAAGGTGGGACATAAAGTCAGATATAAAGAGGGTAGTTGAAACAGAGGGTGAAGCTCCAAAGGCGTAGAATCTGAAGGCTTGGCCCACCATTGATAAGGAGGAGCAGGTGGGGTATACACAGCAAGTCCAAGTTATCTAAGTTCAAAGGACAAGCAGATAAGATCCCAGAAGTAGGGATGTGTTGGGTTTTATCGGTGAGAATGAGGATATTGAAACTGATACACTGAGACACAGGGAGCCCTTGGAGCTTGGTGAAGGCTGGGGTAATGTATTAGCGAAGCTTTGTGCAGGTGGGGATGCGGGCACCAGAAGGTTTAGATAAGTTGGAGCTTATGGATGTTGGAGACCAGTCAGTAGTTCATTTGAAAAGTCCAGGCAGGAGGTAACAAAGGTGTGAATAAAGGTTTACGTAGCATTTGGTGTAAGATAGGGGTGAGGCAGGCAATGTGCCAGAGGTGAAGGTACCAGACAATAATAATAATCCTTGCATTTAATATAGCGCTTTTCACGTCGGGAGGACGTCCCAAAGTGCTTCACAGAACACACTGTAAAGTGAATTGACTGTATATTTGTGGGCGAACGCGGCAGCCAATTGCGCACAGCAATGTCCCAGAAACAGTCGTAGATTGAAAATGACCAATTTATTATTGTTTTGTTTTGGAGGAATTATTATTAGGCTCTGTGTGGAGTAAGGAAACTTGCCCAAGGTTTCGCCCTGACCTGTCTGGAATTGAACCCAGGTCCCTCACTTGCAAAGCGAGTGCTCTAACCACTGAGCTACAGGACTCCAAAGATGGGAGGAAGAAAGGAAAGCTAAAGATCAAACCTACCTTCTTGGTTGTGTACTGGCTCATTAAGTTTGAGGCACACAATGGAAGATGATGGTGGGAGACAAGCAGGGTGGCTTCTGTCTTAACCATACTGAAGGAATGGGCTTGATGGATGGAAAAGAACGCTGAGTCAAATGATAATAACATTTCAGAGATCTATAGAAATTTTAATATTGCTCATCACTTAATATTAAAATACAGAGCTCGTAGGTATAGGAATAAATGTGGGCTCGAATACAGTCCTTCACTTCACAAAACTGACCCAGCTCAGTCTAATTGAATGAAAAATGCCTAATCCTTTTCATTGTAAGAATTCTACATGCTACAATATTAGGTTAGACACGCTCAAACCACATCCGAGTGGATACAAACACAAGCTACCCGTAATGTGGTCTTTATGTCCACCTGAAACACAAAGAATTAATAACCCAAGCAATAATGGTGCCAAAAATAAAATAAGTGCCAAAAATAAAATAAGCCCCAAAAATAGTCCAATTATGCAAATATTTTCATTCCTTTTATATTTATAGCAAACTGATGTGGAAGAATAGCATGGTACTGTGAGAGGTATGTGATGGTAGCATTAGCTAGGAGTTTAATTATGAAGGGTAAGATATTATTTCTGTAGCACTAATGCATTACATACACATATGGAAGCTTTAACTTAACAGTTGTGTTAACATTGATTGCTTCTCTTTCCCCATTCCCAAGTTGATTTCTGCCAGTTTCTTTTGAGATTGTATTTAAAGACTTATAGCTCATTTTCCGGTCTTTGTTTCAGAAACTGGAATAACAATGTTTTTTATGTTGTCACTTTGCCAACAGATGATACAATGCAGTATCCAGACAGTAGACTATGATTTTAAAAAACAGTGAAATAACAGCTTTCCCTTTAAGTGGAAAATTGGGTTACTGTGCAATGACAGATTACATCTTAATAGATAATTACACACCTTTTGAGAAATACATGGGCCTTGAGGTGCCATTCCTGCAAAGATTTACTACCAGCAAGTCAACAGCAAACTGTAATAACCCTGATAGGTTTCTGCTTATGAGAACATAGGAATATGCTGGAGCAGAAAAAAACACAGTAATCCTGGCTAGTCAAAATTTAAATACAGCTTTTACTGTCTCACATACTTGCCCAATCTCCTTTGCCATTAAAGACTTCCACAATTCCCTCATGAAACTGCCCACACAGTTTGCCTCTGCTATCTATCTGGAAATGTAGAAGTTAACTACCTTCTGCATAAAGTAGTTAAATGTATGTTTTAACTATTCACCTTCCCTCTTTTGAGATTGAGTGCTTGTAGACCTCCAGACTGTTGAATATTTGATCTTAGCATTTAATCTTACAATTGTAACAGTATATTTATCCCTTTTACACAGCCAAACTTTTTTTTTAAAAGAATTATTGTATAGCTGGGTTTCTGCCGTTCAAGACTTATATCTTCGACTGTGCCAATAGTAATCTCACCCTTAGCTAGCAGTGTCGAGTGCTCTGAGATGTTCTTCTAATGTGAAAGGTGCTGTATCAATGCAAATTGTATTTCCATACTTTTGAATATGGAATGTAATGTGTTGCCATTGCATTCCATATTCAAATATGAATGGTATTGTATGGTATATTCTCCAGTAGTATGTAACAAAGTGCATTGTGGATTCAGCAGTAGGGCAAATTCAGCAATTCTGTCACATGGAAAGCCTTTTGCGGTAATATTGTTCGAGTTCTGCTGTTTGGTCACAAAATTTAAATTGCAAATTAAATTATTGGAAGCTTCCATCAGCCTACACGTTCAACATAAGTTCTTTGTTTTTCCCTCAACTCAAGGCAAAGAGTAATTTTGGTTTTGCATTTCTCATATGGTCTCAAGATTTTGAGCTCATAGTCTAGGCTGCCATTCATTGCAATACTGGAGGAGTGCTGCATTGTCGGAGGTGCTGTCCTTTGGATGAGCTGTTAAACAAGGTCCCTTATGCTTTTTCAGTGAACATGAAAGATACCATGATACTATTCAAAAAGAGAAGGGAGCTTTTCCCAGTGTCCTCCAGATAAAAAATGGTTATTCACTCCATGGCTGTTTGTGGCACATTGTTGTGGGACATTGTTGTTTTGAATGAGAACTTACCACATACTGTTAAAAACAGAAAGTTTTAAAACTAAACTAGTATTGTAGATCAGGCATGGCCAACTTGTGGCCTGCATTGTACATGTGTAAAATAGTCCGCAGGCTGCACGTTGGCCATCCCTGATGTAGATCATCAAGTATCAAGTATTAGAATTAATATATGATTGCCTCTACTCAAAGAAGCAGTATTTCATCATTAGTGATTGGGAAGCCTTATTTTGTTGGTATTTCTGTCAAAAGGCTTGATGGATTTAATATTCACATTATTACTGTGTGTTTACTAATGAATAAAAACTCTCCGATCATAATTCATGAAACTACCGCTTTGAGGGAATACCTGAAAAGTAACCCATTGTGTTTCTTCTCCTCCCTTCAATTTTCTCTCCTCCTCTCTGAAGGCGCTGATTCATGCTGGGGTATAGTTCTACGGGCGTCAAGTGCCCTCCATTACCTGATCCCAAGTGGCCATTCTTCATGTATGAGCCAAGACAGTGAGTGTCAGCAGGTTATTCAACTGTGGTGGGGGGAAGAATCACAGCCAAGTCTGATCCTATCCTCAGCAAATGATAATCTTCACATTCGAAACACTCTTTCCAGAGCAATCACTGGATAGCCACTAAGACCAGAATCTCTGCCTGTTTTGGTTTAATTTCTCCCTCTCCCTTCCAGCCCAGAATTATTGACACCAGTTATAACACTGCCAGGCAAGACGATTGATGACAGTTAAACAAGCACTGTGTGGCAACCGAATCTCTGACCTATTAGGTTCTTGCAACTTAGTCTCACACTAGGTGAAAAGTGACACTTAAGAATTTTAGACATTTTCTATATAAATCTGTTGTATTCTCTAATGTTTCTGAACCATGTCAGTTGTTCCTCTGCTTAAGTGATTTCTTTTTCTCCAGTTTTTCTGTTACCATTGTCAGCATCCCAAGTTATGTATAGTTGTTTATTACATTATTTCTGTTATTTCAACAATATTTTTATTCATTGCCTACATTACAGGAAGTTGCAGGTAATGAGCAAAGGAAGCCTTAAACATTTTGGCTTGTCTTCCTCGGCAAAATCTTGCAAGAAATTGCAGCAGAAATTAAACCATTAAAATTCAGAATCCTAATTATGTATAATGCAAAACTTTACTAGATTCTTATAGGTTTTCAAACTGCGGAGTTTACATTGTGTTTTAACCAATTATTTTGGTGTATTGATAATTTTTTCAAATTATGATATTACAAAGATTATTATTAATTCATTAAATACATCAGGAATGGACCGCATCAGCATCGACTATAGGGCACTTCAGCCTCTATGCCCCACCCTTTGGAACTCCATCCCGCAGTCCCTTCACCTTGCCCCCTCCTTTACCTTCTTCAAGGCGGGTCTCAAGACCCTCCTCTTCTACTGCGCCTTGGGCCACCCTCCCTGCCCTCCACCCTTCCTGATCCCAAACCCTGCTGGGGTCCAAATCCCTGACTGCCCAGCGCCTTGGGACGTCGTCCTGACTTGAAAGGCACTATACAAATGTAATTTGTTGTTGATCCTGAGATCTATTTGTTGTGCAAGAAACCATATCTAAAAACTCATTAACTGTAAAGCGGTTTCTGGTTCATATGTAACAAGATTGAAAAATACTTCTCGAACCTATTCGAACCAACATCCAATGCCAAACCGAATATCGTTCACAGTCTTCAATCACACTTCATGCATTTTCAACTGCTTTAGGTACCCCTTGTAAAATGTGGTCATTTTTGTGAAAGCACGCTCGTAGCTTTCAGTAATTTCTGAGTCTGAATATTTTCCTGAATGAAGATCCAATATGATCACTGCTAACAAGAGGGATGTTATGGTCCACAAGAAATCCTGTAAATAAAAATTCAGCTTTGGTTATGCTCTCACTCATTTTTGACCCAGCAGGTGGGGAAAAAAGCTGCAAATGATTTTGACTGGGATGCAGTCGTGGCACAGCTCGCATGTTTCTCCGCAGCAGTGTGTCTAGAAATAACATTGTACCCGCCATGGCCAACAGACAACAGCTTTGCAATACTCACAAAAAGGAAATGTTAGCCCTCTTCTTGATTTTTGTATGAAATAATGCTATGCCCGCCAAGTGTCTTTAAACTTCAACTGCTTTTTTGGTAGCCCCCCCCCCACCCCTACTCTCCCCGCCCTCCACCCCTCCTGATCCCATCCCCCAGCTCGGGTCCAAATCCCTGATTGTCCAGCGCCTTGGGATGTCCTCCCGATGTGAAAGGCACTATAAAAATGTACAAAAGGCAAAATACTGCAGATGCTGGAAATCCGAAATAAAAACCGAAGTCGCTGAGAACACCAGGCAGGTCAAGTTCTGACGAAAGGTCATTGACCTGAAGCGTACACTCACTTTCCTTTCCATAGATGCTGCCTGACCTGCTGAGTGTTTGCAGCGACTTCCGTTTTTACTATACAAATGTCATTTGTTGTTGTTGTTCAGCTAATTCAAATAGAACAATATTTAATTATTGCTGGTTCTCTAGCAATTAATATAAAAATANTTTTTTTGCCTTGGCAACTCTGTATCTGAAATATTAAATCTCGTCACCAGTTAGATGCTTCTAAAATATTTATTAAATTGCTGTGTATTTGTCAACCCCCAAACTGATGTACTAATAAAGCATTTGGTGACTGCAATGCTTTTAAAACTAATTCTTCCAACGACCTACAGCCTAACCTGGATGTTGTTTTGGAAGATCGGTCTATGTTGAGCAATAACTTGATTAATTTGATTGCTTTCATACCTGCTGAGGTGCCCACAATCCAGAGTGCACCATAAAATCCTTTGGTTTTCAGATATTTTCTGACAAATGTAGATGTTTATTTTTAAACCGAGCACGTAAAAACCTCTAACAGAATAACATGCACAACTGTAGTTTGTTGCAATTTGTTACTTTTTTTTCTCCTCTTCCCCCTCATTATTATCATACAGGTTTGGGTAAAACAAAAAGGAAGACAAGTGCAAGAGATGCTTCCCCCACACCAAGCACGGATGCAGAATACCCATCAAATGGTGGAGGTGCTGACCGTATATACGATCTAAATATCCCAGCAAATGTCAAGTTTGCTTATGTGGCCGAGAGAGATGATGAACTGTCGCTTGTGAAGGGGACACGCGTCACTGTTATGGAGAAATGTAGTGATGGTTGGTGGAGAGGTGGCTACAATGGACAAGTCGGTTGGTTTCCGTCAAACTATGTTGTAGAGGAAGGTGATGAAGCCATTGCAGATTCCCCTAATTTCTTCACTTCCAGACTTGGAGCATCCGTGAGTAACGGACAAACCACGAAAGTCCTTCATATGGTGCAGACACTTTACCCATTTAGCTCGGTGACTGAGGAGGAGCTGAACTTTGAAAAGGGGGAAATCATGGATGTGATTGAGAAACCAGAGAATGACCCAGAATGGTGGAAGTGTCAAAATTCGAAAGGGCAAATTGGCCTTGTCCCCAAAAACTACGTAGTAATCTTAAACGATGGACCTCCTCTGAGCAGTTTACATGCTCCTCAGATATGCCTCACTGGGCCATCCTCTACAGGAAAATTTGCTGGAAAAGAATGGTATTATGGCAGTGTCACGCGGCACCAGGCTGAAATGGTTCTAAATGAGCGGGGCATGGATGGTGACTTCCTTGTTAGAGATAGTGAATCATCGGTAAGTACCATTTATTCTGCTTTTCGGTTTTACTACATGTTGACATTTGCATTACACAATTTGTTTAATGTCACTGAATTGTTTTTGTCTTGTGTTTTCCAAGGGATAACTTAGCAGCTTAAATGAAAACTTGTTATATTGAGAGAATATTTAGTAGAAAGAGACAAGATGCATTAAGTTCGAAAATTGTAGATGATGTTAACGTAACCCCAAATGATATATTTTTGGTTATCGGGGTGGGGGGGGAAATAAATTTGCAGTTGTACAAAATACTCTTTTCTGATGTATGTCCTATGTATGTTTATTTTATTTTACAAACATATTTATTCTTACATTGACAAATGCTTTAATGGTGTCCATATTAAAATACTGTATGTTGCTTATGATTTGGCAATGCCTCATCTTACCTTCTCTGTGTATATATATATTGCTTGTTTTAAATGTTGAAATTGAACTAAAGCGTTTACTCTAGACCTCTACTGATTTAGACAAAACGTGCTCAAGTAATGATTGAAATTTTCTTTTAATCATTTTAAAAGTTGGTTTATAAAGATTTACAAAGAATGTACAGCACAGAAAATAGTCACTCAGCCCAACCTCTATTTATTCTCCACACACGTCTTCCGCCAATCCTTACTTCCTCCCATACTCTTCTATTCCCTTCTCCCTTGATGGTGTTTACTGTACAACAACAACTTGCATTTATATAGCACCCTCCATGCAGGGTAGTATCTCAGAGCACTACTGTATTATTCAAGCGGTCGTTAAAGATCCCATTGTATTATTCAAAAAGACAAAGCAGCTTTTCCTGGTGTGAGTGTGTTTGCGTGTGTGCGTGTGGTGGCGGCCCTGAGTGGCAGGAAGTTGTGACCCGCTGCATTCAGTGCTGACAACGGACCATTTGACCCTTCGGACCTGCATTCTCTCCCCCCGCCCCCGAGTTTGACAGAAAGCACTCCTGGCAGCACCAACCAATTCCATGCAATTTTTCAGAAAATCAAATTTCCACACAATTTGGGGGAAATATTTCTGCAATTTTCTATTGGATCTGGTCATTGCCTGAAAACATTGAATGGGCCATTCCTTAATGTTAAGAGTTCAAACGTGCATCCATTTTGGTTAAAAGCAGCTTCTACCTCCTACTGAGTTTTAAACTAGTAATATCACACATGAAAATTAAGCCACATTATTTTTGTTATATTTAAATGGCTAATTTAACTGGAGTCTCAATTGTGCAATAATAATAATAATAATCCTTGCATTTGATATAGTGCTTTTCAAGGCGGGAGGATGTCCCAAAGCGCTGCACAGAACACACTGTAAAGTGAATTGACTGTATATTTGTGGGCGAACGCGGCAGCCAATTGCGCACAGCAATGTCCCACAAACAGTCGTAGATTGAAAATGGCCAATTTATTATTGTTTTTGGTTTTGGAGGTATTATTATTAGGCTCTGTGTGGAGTAAGGAAACTTGCCCAAGGTTTCGCCCTGACCTGCCTGGAATTGAACTCAGGTCTCTCGCTTGCAAAGCGAGTGCTCTAACCACTGAGCTACAGGACTCCACAATAACTGGATTCATTGATGAATTATCTGTTAGGATTGAACTTCTTGTGAGAGTTTTGATCAAATTCTATGGATAAACTTCCCAACCAGAAAATATACATATTATGGCTTATGCGATTATTTACTTAATAAAAAAACAAAGCTGATTAGTGTTTGCATAAAAATTTACATTTATATAGTACCTTTTACGTATAGAGGATGTCCCAAGGCACCGGTCAATCCAACGTTTTCACCCGAGAGGGGTAGGGGAAAGATAGCTGAAAGTGCAGTCAAAGAAGGTGTTAAGACAGACCTTGAAGGAGGTGTGGGAAGTAGCAAGTTAAACGGACTCTGGGATGGAGGTCCAGAGAGTGGGGCAGATACACTGAAAGCACAACCACCTTCTTTGAGGGGAAGGGCAACATTCTTATTGCTAAATGTGAAAACTCATATTTGAGTTTAGTAAAATATCTTTATGATCTGTTTTTTTCCAAATTCTTTACTTTTCCAAGTTAAGAAGCAACTGTGACATCTTAGGTCTGATGGTACATATTAAACTTCATTCATCTTAAATTATGAAAGCCTGGTAGATTTCCAGATTGAGTGAAACCTGTGAAAAAGGGACTTTTTTCTTTATCACCTACAAAATTAATTTTTTTTTGTATGGCAATGATTCAGAGGATGCAAAGATCTCAGAATATCTAGGTAATTAAATGTTTAATGTTTAAATAATCTTGTTTAATATCCCCCAACAGTTGCAGTTTTTTTAAAAACTGAATAGAAAGATTTGTGCCTGTTTCTCTGCTAGTATGTTGAAGAGTTGGTAGAGTCTCATATAATTGATAAAATACAGTCAAGGACTTTCCCGGCCAGCAGAGGAGCAGTTATTACAGTTGTTATTATTATTAATTGATAAATCTCTGTTGAATACAGCTTAATTAGCGATGGCTCATATTCATAATAATAATAATACAGGGGAATCTGCTTTTGCTGGTTAACCCCAGACATCAGGTAAACCGAACAAATTGCCCAGCCCCGATTCTTTCAAATCTTACCTGTTGCAAATATGCCAGTTAATTCAGACAGAAATACAGTTAATCCGTCCAATGCAAATGGAAATGGGAGGGAGGGAGGTAGCCACGCTGCTCCTCTGCTGGGCGGGAAAGTCCTTGACTGTATTTTGCAGCCAAAGAAAGATAAATATATTTTACTGAATTTTATGAGAATATTTTAACTTTAACTGGTTAGTTAACATTGCTTCAAGTGAAACAAAATTATTATATATTATTTACGCACCGGCACAGCTCCTCTGCTGGGCGGGAATGGTATTTCGACTACCCTCAGACACCAAGCATTCTTTCTTTCTTAATTAAATTTAAATAGTAGTGCTTAGTGATAGTTCCAATAATTTGTAGGGGTATCTTTATCATATACAAGAATTCAAGGACAAGAATTACTTCTATTTTATCGTGGGCCTTTCAAATTTATAGTTGCCTTCACTTTACACTAAAGGTGTAGTTTGCCTTACATCAGGAAGTTTTATGTATGTGTAGGTAGTCTTGCTTCGTGGAATTTAATTTATGTACTCAAAGTTCTTGCTGCTTTGGAGTAAATTAACCTTTTTGTACTGTACATGATGATCTAGACTTAGGACTAGCCCTTCTGATAAAGCCGTATCGATGCCTTTCAGAGAAGATATTGCCTTAATCAAGAGCTTAAAGATAATAATAATCCTTACATTTGATATAGCGCTTTTCACGTCTTCGAGACGTCTCAAAGAGCTTCACAGAATATACTGTAAAGTGAATTGACTGTATATTTGTGGGCGAAATGCGGCAGCCAATTGAAAGCCAATTAAAGATACAGTAAACTTCATGTAAGTTGAATTAGTGTGGGACTAGAACATTTAGTATAACTTGAGCAAAATCTGATTTTAGGCAATCTGTATAAAATCTGATTTAATCAATAATCTGCACTGCGCACGCACAATTCAAGTCAGCCGGTAGGTATGTATTTGGTGATGGGTCAAGGCTACGTTTCCTGCGATTCAGTGCACCTTGAGAGTTGTGATCACATTGCGTCGTGGAAAATGAAGTTCTTCTGCGCACACAGCAACGAGTCAATACTACGTTTCCCGTGGTTCAGTGCAGCCGATAAGTGCGGGAGTAATGGAGGGTAGAGGAGCCGCGTTATGAGTTAGGCGGTGATTAAAACGAATCGTGCAAAGAAATCGAGAATGTGAAAGGTGCTGTACATGTTATATAAAGTGGCATAACTGTATGCAAGTGTTTTCAGATTTGTCCAGTTTTGTGCCTCCACTTCATCAAATGTGTTTCTTGCCCATGATTCTCCATGGAATAGTTTCTGTAGCATTTGAACTTTGTTTCACTAGAATGACGTGTATTTAGGATTTCTTCTGCCACTACAAAATTGACATTGTGATGTTGAAGTGCCTATTCTCTACAGAGAACTGGTTTTGCATTTATCATAGTTATTGAGTAGTGCTCTGGTGACTGAGCCTTGCCAGATGTTTCTGTGCTTTTATCTCCAATGAGCAACAACAAATTGTACTTGCATAGTGCTTTTCGCCTACGAGAATTTTTCAAAGCACATTACAGATGGGGTTGGAGATGAAGGGAGGTTTGGGAGGGATGAAGAATGGGGACTGAAGTGGATGGGGGAGGACAGGTTGTGGAACATGAAGGTGGGGAGAGGTAACTAAAGGCACAGTCACAGATTTGTAGAAGGGTTTTGACAGCACAGGAATGGATGAGGTAGAGGAATTTCAGAAGAGAGTTCCAGAGAATGGAAGGGGTGGGGGGGTAAAGTGGCTTAAACCTTTCCCAAAAATTGTTTTGAGCAGTGTTGAATCCCCATACGTCAATCTTACCACGGCCTAGGTAGGTTTCAGTGTTGATGCAGAAACACCTGGAGCAGCAGATGTGAAGGCCACTATTGGCAAGAGATGTGTAAGACTGAACATTCTTTGTAAATCTTTTCACAAGGAGAGTGGAATAATAGAAGGGTGTGGGAAGGAGTAAGGAATGGGTGAGGACTTGTGCGGAGTAAAAAGAGTGGTTGGGCTGAGTGGCCTGTTTCCATACTGCCCTTTCTTTGTAAGAGGCGAGCTGCAAGTGGTCCTAAGGCATATTAACGGTTTATACAAATGGTTATTTCTTTTGTTACTTTTCTTTCCAGAACGAGTTTCATTGCATTCACTTTTTCTTCTGCATTAAGAATTTTTATTTATTGACCAAGGAGCGTTCATTCAATAGGTTATGCTTTTTTACTTATTTAACTTAATGTCAGCAACATAAATCTTCTGTTACTCTTTGAGAACTAACTGTACTGTTCAGAGACTGAAGATCAGTGGTGAGCCCTTTAGTGACCAAATGTTAAAAAGACTGTTTACATTTATATACAGTAATATAAAATCTTTACTTTCAAACCTATTTTGAAAGAATCAATATTTGTTTTATTAATTTATCCTTATAGAATTGAGTCACTAAAATCGTCTATTACTAGCGCAAAGTTTTTAGTTTTGTTATAAAGATTAATGTGTCTGTTATCTATAATTATAATATAAATTATTTTTTCTTGCAGCCAAGTGACTTCTCAATTTCGCTAAAAGCATCAGGAAAGAACAAGCATTTCAAAGTCCAGCATTCAGATGGCGTGTACTGTATCGGGCAGCGTCGATTTAACACCATGGATGAGTTAGTGGAACACTACAAAAAGGCACCCATTTTCACAAGTGAACATGGGGAGAAGTTGTATCTAATCAAACCCTTGCAGTGATGCAGACTGCTCACCTGGCCATGGCCAGGCTTGTCATGGATAAAAGCCTTAGATCTGAACGATTACACAGAGCAGAGCCGATTGTAACAATGAGATTTCAACACCTTCTGGGCTGTTATGGATCATGCTCTGCTATATTTTTTTTGTCTTCGTCCTTCTGTTTATTTGCCTGTATGTCCTTAATTCTGTTGAACTTGCATTTACCTTCCAAAGGTTAGGTTGAACCTCTTCACTTTTTAAGTGATGGTCACTTTAGCACTCACTTCTTGCCTGGGCTCAGATTTCCCCCAATGTACATTTAATTAGCTAGAATTGGGGAACATCTTCCTTGAAATTGCAGTGTTAATTAATCAGTTTTTTAAAAAAAATGCTCACACTAAATGATTTTCCTCTTGAGAAAGACATTGGGCACAGTTTGAATGCACTGAAGCTGCATCTAATTACAAAAAAAAAGTAGATATAACAAAATGTGGCAGTGAATACTGTAGCTTTTGCTTACCGAATAGTTAATGCAATTTCCTAGAATCTAGAAGCACTCTATTCTCTGCTATATTACGCCTTCTCTAAATTTTGTGTAGAGTGCACTAATGAAACTGTTAACATTTAACTTTCTAGATTACTATGGTAAGATCGTAGAAATAAAACTAGAGTGAAGTTTGGTCTGTAATTGCAGCTGACGAAGAGTACACATTTTCTTATCGAATCAGTGGAAATCAGATGTGCGTACTTTATGAGATTAAATGTTTGGCAATGTACCTGTACACCCAGATGTACCACTCACATTATGCTTGTTTCTCGCGCCCTTATGTTGTTTCAAGTAAACAACACATATTTAATTCTCGACATAATATGTAGCAAATTGTTGACATTAATACATGAGATTAATAAAGCTATCCTTTTTGGGGGTTACTAGCAATAGACGTGCAATGTATGTATTGTCTACACTGTCTACACTGCAAGCGGGCGCAAGAATATTATTTTTGTACTTTATTGTGTAACAAAGGGGAAAAAATCCCCTTTTGACTCCATAAACCCCACATGTATAATGGCCGAGGTCAACCTTATGCACACGTCTCGTTAAATGATTGTCAATAAAAAAAAATTCAGTTTATCTGCTACAGTATTATAGGGTATGTAGTTTGCATTGCCATTCACAAACACACATACACACACACATTGGTTGACTTACTTGAACATTACTCTGATTTAAACATGAAAATGTTCAGCAAAAAAGTAGCCACTCAGCCCATCAGATCTGGCAGAGCAGTTTGTCTTTGCTAAATTACCTTTTTTTATTAATCCGACTTTCCTTCTTTTTCCCCATGTTTGTTTTTACTTTTCAATTGCTCATCCACTTGCCTTTTAAAATCATTTGAAGATACTTGGTCTCACTTTTCACATGTTGTAAGATGCATCATTCAAACAGCAGTTACCATTTCTGCTATAAGATGTCTTTGTGCGGTTTGATTTATAAAGTGCAAAACTTTTTAGTTCAACTCTGGACTTGCAGATGAAGCAAAAAAGACAAGGTCATAATGGATAATACATTTGCTGTAAGTCATTTTCACTGCTGCAAGTGTTATATATTAGTGCTACAAAATTGCTTTTCTTTCGGAAAAGGAATTGTTTCGTCCCACATCTTGTTAACTAGCTAATGTTTTTATACCGTTTCTGGGAACTAAATCCTTCTGAAACGTTCATAAACAAACAGCCTTGCTTAAAATTGGGAGCAAATCTTTTGATACAGGTAATAGTTGATCTTTACAAAGTGCTTCTGCCTTTTATCCATTTCCTTTAATTTATTAGGAGAATTGGTTTCAAAGACTCTATTTATGTATACTGATATTTTTCTAAGAATACCTGATCTACCCATCAAATAAATTTAATAAATTATCTTAATGGGGATTTTCAGTGAAATAAAATATTTTTTTCCCCATTAGGTGACTGATAGTTTCTGTAAACGTTGCTATGGTTTCTTGAATAGTAGAATTAAAGCTGCAGGTGCAGAAGACGTTTGAAATACAATACAATACAAAATTACATTTGTATAGTGCTCTTCACGTTGGGAGGATGCCCCAATGCACTGGGACTATGGTACTATGACTTTTTTTAGATTTACTTGAAACAACTGTGTTGAAATATAAAATCATTTTGTTACCCTTCATTTTTTATGAGAATATTCCAGAAATAACAATTAGCCTTGGCTTTCAGTATTTTTGGGAGAGGAAAATACACTTTCCCTTTGATTTAGTTTAAAGTAAAACAAATTTGCACATACTATAGATTTGCTTGTTTCGCAGTTCCAATATCTCTTGAGAATCAAATTATAAAACGATGTTGATGCGGAGCTTTTTTAAAAAAAATCCGTAGTTCTGGACCCAAGCTTGGAAATTCCACAAAGAGTGATTTAACCTGTAGTCCAGCACTGGCTGTGCTCTCTCTCTCGCTCTCTCTCTCTCTCTATATATATATATATATGTTTTTGCTTTTAATTTTCAAAGTTGTTTTGAGGTTGGATGCTACTACAATACCTATATAGACAGAAATAGCACAATTGATGCATACAACAACAAAATTACATTTTTATAGAGCCTTTCACATCGAATAGACGTCCCAAGGCACTGGACAGAGTTTCAGACCCGAACTAGGGGTCTGTATCGGAGAGGGCGGGGGGTAAGCAAAGAGATCGAAGAGGAGGATCTTGAGATGTGTCTTGCAGCAGGCATGGGAGGGGGCGAGGCAAAGGGACTGCAGATAGAGTTCCAGAGGGGGGAGCAGAGTGGCAGAAGGCCCATCCACCAATAGTGGGGCGAGCAAGGCGAGGGACGTGAAGCAGACTGGAGCCCGCTGAGCAGAGGGAGCGAGCAGGATGGTAGGGGGTTAGATATGAGTATCCGCTTCCCTATGTTAAACCAACAGCAGGTTCAGGTAAGCTGCTAAGATGCAGTATTACAGAAATCAAATTTGTTTGATTTCAGCTTGAAAGATGTTTCTGGGGGTGAAGTTAGGTTTAGGAACTTGACTTTGTTTGGCACTGTGTAATATTCTGTAATAATCACAAATCTCATTTTCAATATCCATTTGCTTTTTACAAATTATTAAATAATTGTTGGTGGCATTGGAAATGCTGTTCATGTCCACTAATGTAATAACTCAGAAGTGTTGAATTTAGTTTTTATGGAAATGCGGTGTCGGGGAAACAAAGCCATTAAATGTTGGAGACAGTATAGTGAATGTAGCTTCTCTTTAGATGGTCTTTCAAATCCTTTATAATGTGTACATTTTAGCTTTAAAGATAAATTAATAATTATTTTCTGATCCGGTGAGGGTCTGTTAAATGCTAATATTTTGTTTTTACTATGGTGAAAATGTGGGGAAAAAAGGATTATTTTTAACAAATCTAGTCAATGTCATGCACTATAAAATCAGGTATGAGGTGGGGTGCACAATGAAGGTCCTCTCATCAATATCCTAACTGCTGAATTGTGGTTTGTGCTGTGGGCTTGTGTTCACTAGGAACTTCGCTGAGAGTGCCTAATGTCAGGACACTTATGAACATCAGGGCATGAAAACCTTCACCCCCAACATTCTAGGATGGACTCAAACCCAAGATCCAAAGGTTTAAAAAAAGTTGAACCTTTGTTTGAATTTGATAACTGATAACCGTAGAGATTGTTCCTTTAGAACATTCAACTATTTCCCTTTCAGGCACGATTAACCTGCTGTATATTTTCAGCATTTCTCTTGAAACCTTGCAGCTTTTAAAATACATAACTATTGCAGTTGCGTAACCCATGTAATTAACTCTCCAAATGACTCAGTTGTGGACTAAGAAGAATCTTTGACCACTTCCTGACTTCTGCTTTCTATGAGTAAGATTGAATCGGACTGAGCGTCTGGTTATCTTCTGAAGTATGAGTTTTACATTGCGCCTTTTGTTTGGAAATGCCCACATATTGTGACCTGTTTAACCATCAGACATCTTGAAGATGGGAGTGGGGGTGAGACAGAGGTGTTGATTAAGAGTTTCAGAAGTTAGAGGTGCAGAATTGGAAACCTCAGCCACCGATCGTGGCAGAAGTAGAATAGGGGATGTGCAGCAAGCCTGACTTAGTCAATCGGAGTGGAGGAGTGGGATAGAAGCGGAGATGTTGGTGCATGAAAGGATTTGTAGGTGAAGGTGAAATTTTGAATTCGGTCAACTGAGAGACAGGAAGCCAGTGGAACCTGGAGAGGACTGTGGTGATGGACATATGGAGATTAATGCAGATGGGTATAGGGCGGCAGTTTTGGATAAGTTGAATATTATGAATTGAGCTCAGGAGAACAGTGAGGAGCACGTTACAGAAATCCAGCCAGGAGAGGATGAAGTATGGATAAGAGTTTCAATAGCGTTCAAAGTGAGGTAGAGCTGCAGGCGGGTGATGATGAGGTGGAGATGAAGAAAAGCAGTCAAAGTCAGAGACTAGATGTGAGGGAGAAAGGAATGCCAAGGATTGAACTGGAAGCCAAGGTTGTGCCTTGTGCAGTGGTTTGGTGCGTTTGAGAGGGAGAACCTGGGAGATTGAGGTCAGAACCAAAATTGAGGAGACGTTGATGGTGTTGAGGGGAGTGGCTCCTGTCTTATCCACCTTTCTTGCAAGAAATTTTGGCTCAAGTCTTAATGTCTAACAGGCAAGTAGACAGATCATCAGTGGACCTGGAATGTGAGGCATAGATGAGAAATTTAAAAGAAACCAAACAATTACCAGTACTTACAGTGATCCATTAATTGTCCAAATAAAGGCAACTGACATCTGCTGACATCTTCTGAGGAACGTGCTCTAATCAAAATAGGCTGTTTTCAAAACACAGACAAACTGATTCGCTTTCCCCGCCCGCCTCTCGTGCACACACTGCTGTCTTGCAACATGTTGCGATTTGGAACCTTGCCCCGTCTCCCTGCTTTCAAAACCAGCTTTAAAACCTCTCTTCAACCGTGATTTCAGCCACCCTACACCCACCCTTCTCCCAAACTCAGGCTTCCCTTGACCCATCGCCATTCTCTTATCTACTGTCCAATCTCCAACCTTCCTTTTCTTTTCAAGGTCCTGGAACAAGTGTTTGCTTTGCACTTTCCTCTCTTGACCCTCCCTGTGTGAACCCCTCAAATCTAGTTTCCCTGCTGCCCACAATACAGAGACAACCTTAGCAAAAGTTATAAATGGTTTTCTTTTATCTGTGACTAGAGATCTTTCTGTCTCCTCATCCTTCTCAATCTCTCTGCTGCCTTTTACACCTGACCATTATTCCACTTTGAATCCGCTAATAGCTTCTCCTTCCAGGTTTCACATTTTCACGTACTACACCCAGAACTCTGGAACACTTTCTCTATCCCTCTGCCTTGCTTCTTCCTCCCCCATCTTCAAATCGCACCTGAAGACCTTCCTCTTTGACCATGCCTAGGGTCACTTTTCCCGGCTTGATATCGTGCTCCGCCACTGACAAGTGCTCTTCTATCCTGCGTGAGGCTGCTATATAAATGCAAGTTGTTGTTGAGTATGTGAGCAACAGAATTTTTTCTCAACTGGATTTTATGGATAGGGGAGCTAGGGTGACTAGGGGCAGGAGGTGACAAACGCATGGACGAATGTTTCGGCTGTATTTGGGGTACTCACCCACACAGGTAGACGGAGCCAGGCAATCTGGAGGAAAGCAGTCCTGGTCAGTTCTGGACAAATACACAATTGGCAGCAGATCTAGCCATTTTTAAGAAACCTTTCACACATTTTGGCTGTCAGACGAATGAGTCTTGTTTGACTCATTTTCATGAACTTAAAGGAGTGTTATGAGTTAAACATCTGTATGGACTCTTGATAGATTCAATCAGATGTGCAGTATGCAAGAGCATAAATGATCCCAGGAAGTATTCCCACCCTCACTAGTAAAAAAAATAAAATAAATGGGAGCATCTGACTGATTGCAACCATGAAGGGATCTCGCAGCGCATTCCTCAGAATAGATTTCAACAAATGAAACTCGCTGTTAGTTGCCGATTGATGGATCACTTTCCTGACACAACTAGATAAATGAGCTCCTCTGTCGTCTCAGTTAGACATTAGTAGATCACTA